ATTAAAATGTAAGCTCCATGAGGTCAGGGAGTCTGCTGTAGGGCAGCTCCTGAGCATCATCTAGAATCATGGTGGGCACATGGTATGCAATGAGTCTTTACTGAATTAATGAATGACTGAATATGTCCAGAATGGGAAGAAGATTTCATTTACCCTCTGTATCGGGATGGAAACATTCCTTATTTAGAGGAAGCCTTCTATGAGGTTATCTACCAAACCATTGACCCTAACGCCGAACTCACTGGGAAGATCCTATAAGCAATGGGTGAGTCTTGCTTTCCAGCCAGGTATCTTTCCCACAGTAAAGGAGAACTTGACATATTGCAAGTCTGCTTCGTGTAAATTGTTTCTATAGTATAGTGACTATATGAAAATCAGTGCGTGTGATCCTGAAAAATTGAGAATCAGATTTTCTGTCCCAGTGACTACACCAAAGTACACAGTCTCCTTTGGGCCAAGTCTGAGCTGCCAAATAGCTGATGGTTTTTCTCTGACATCTTGAGTTCGACAACAGATGTTACGTAATTGAGTAGAAGCCACCGTCCCTGTATGTTTATTTTCTTATCTGAGAGATGAAGGGTCAGAACATGATATCCGAGGCCTTTGATGCTTTTCAGAAACAACAGAAGGAAGACTTCAGAGTTGAATAAAAACCCAGCAATTTAATTCAGACTGTGTCAAGACAGAGCATTTCAAAGGAGTCAAAAATTGATCAGATCCAAAAGTATATAACCAACATTTAACTTTGCCTTTAAAAGAACAGGTGGATTGGGAAGCTTTGTGGTAAACTCAGTTTTTCTGGGAATTAATATAGTTATTATTATGATAAAAATAAGGCTAGTAAATTACCTACTAGGTTTGTACTTTTTTCTTCTACCAACTAGCACCCTAGAAAACTCCCTGTGGAGGAGCCAGAAGATTTAATTAAAAGAATTTTAAAGACCTGATGGAGGGAACTTAATCCCATATGATACTCAGGAAGCTGAGAATTTTATATAGTTTGTTAGTGGATAATTTTGGGGGAAAGATAGGATCCTTGCCCCCTAGACTTTTATGAGGCAATGCATTTTTCAACATTCAGGGACTTTCTGGGTTTAGTACCAGAATGTGGCAGCAGACTTGAAGCTAATTTGACATCCCAAGTAGTAAATAGAGCCCATCCTTTATAGTATCCACTCTGAAATGTGAGGACGATCATATAATTTACTGTCCAAACCAGGTCACTTAAGTAGGAAGTGTCCACTTAGGTAGTACAAAATTGTACTATTTACAATCAAGCCCAACCCTGTCCCAGGATGTATGGTCATTTTACCCAGTGGAATTCAAAATTGTGCAGCAAAATCATCTAGAGGGCTTGTTAAAACACAGATTCCTAAGCTTCACTCCCAGAGTTTCATAATTCAGTAGTTCTGGGGTAAAAAATTTGCATATCTAACAAGTTCCCTGGTGATGTTGATGCATCTTGTCTTGGGACACTTTAAGAACAACTGTTCTACCTAGAAGAGCTTGGCACTCTTGCACTGATGGTGTAATTTTCATTTGAAAGAAACTCTCCTTATTGTTCAGTCATCCTCTATTAGGCAGTCTTATGCAAGTGCAGATACCCATGAGGAAGGTGGCAGAGCAAGCTCATGTTGGCATCAGCCTGTCATCTCTGGACTGGTCTGTTATTGGTATGCCAGAGACTGACCATGCTGGCAGGTTGAGACAGCTAACTTTCAAGGAAATGCGGAAACTGAATGAAATAAATGTGACTTCTGGTTTCTTACCATAAAGGCATTGGCCTAGGAAGCTTCAACACCTAAATTCACTCTGAAGGCAACAATATTCCTCTGTCCACACTTGACTTCAGAAGCATCTTAGATCTAGTGGCAAATAACCTTGACTGTTTTTTTCTTCCTTCTCTCCTCCCTCTCTCCTTCCTTCCTCCCATGCCCCCTTCTTCTGTTTTCCAGTGGTCTTATATATAATTACATATACATTTACCTTGAGGTCTTTATGATAGTGAAAACAAAATCATGTCAGCCCATATTTACTCAATGCTTCCTGTCTTACTGTGTTAAAGACTTGACATACATGATCTATTTGAGTCCTATAGCAGTTTTGTACTGATGTTATCAGCTTTACATCAGGGAATGGGACTCAGGGAGCTTGGTGGCCTGGCCTCCTAGAAGGTAGTTACTAGTAACTGGCTACTTGGTGTATGGATTTGTTGTTTTTTCCTTGTGGAAAGTCTTTTTGTTTTGTTTTAATTAATTTATTTACTTTTTAAATTTTATTTTTTTGATTTACATCCAAATTAGTTAGCATACAGTGCAACAATGACTTCAGGAGTAGATTCCGTAATGCCCCTTACCCATTTAGCCCATCGCCCCTCCCATGCATTAGCTGTTTTAATGTGGCACCCCCCACCTTGAGTCTTCTGCCTTTGAGAGACTTTTTTTTCCTTAATGTTTTTTTAAATGTTTATTTTTATTTTTGAGAGAGAGAGAGAGCGCTAGTGGGAGAGGGGCAGAGAAAGAGGGAGACAGAGGACCCAAAGCCAGCTCTGTGCTGAGAGCAGAGAGCCCAATGTGGGATTTGAACTCATGAGATCATGACCTGAACCGAAGTCAGATACTCAACCGACTAAGATACCCAGGTGCCCCAGGAGAGACTTTAATTTCTATTGCCGCCTTTCCCCCAACCCAACTGTTGTACTCTATTTAAAGATGTCAGAGATAGGGGCGCCTGGGTGGCTCAGTTGGTTGAGCGTCCAACTTTGGCTCGGGTCATGATCTCGCAGTTAGTGAGTTCAAGTCCCACATCGGGCTCTGTGCTGACAGCTCAGGGCCTGGAGCCTGCTTCTGATTCTGTATGTCCCTCTCTCTCTGCCCACCCCTGCTCTGTTTCTCTCTCTCTCTCTCTCTCTCTCTCTCTCTCTCTCTCTCTCTCTCGTCAACAATAAATAAACATTAAAAACAAATTTAAAGAAAGATGTCAGAGATAGTTTTATGTTATAATATAACTTCCCCCCTAATATGTGTGCCTGATACTAGGTCGAACATTGTTATAGCCAGAGAATTATAAATACTATCCTCCAGGGGTGCCTGAGTAGCTCAGTTGATTGAGCAACTGACTTCAGCTCAGGCAGTGATGTTTGTGATCTCATGATTTTATGATCTTGTGATCAGTTTGTGAGTTTGCGTCCCACATGGAGCTCCCTGCTGTATGTGGTCAGCTCCCTGCTTCAGGTCCTCTTCAGATCCTCTGTTCCCTCCTTTTTCTCTGTCCTTCTCTTGCTTGTGCTCTCTCTCAAGAAATAAACATTTAAAAAATTAATTAAAAAAATACTATCCTACAAATGCATAGTTGAGGATGAAAGCAGTCCAAGAGGATTTTAGGACCTGCTGATTGGTGATTGGGTAGGGTGTGGTGGAAGGGGAGGGAGCAGGTGTAGCAGTGGTAAGTTTGGGCTGATTGAAACCCTGTGGCCTTTGGGAGCTGCCATGAATGGAATACCAGTGCCTTGCATGTGCTCAAGGGCTCAGGCTCATGGTGAGATCATCTGGATGGTCTTCATCAGGGTAGTGAATGCTCTTTACATGCTTCTTCAAGTGTGAGGTGGACACTATAATATCTCAGTCAATGGCAATTCTTTCCCCACACCCTGCCCACTTCCCCTTATTGGGTCTTCATGCTTTGAGTATCTCATTTGTGCCCTCATTTCTTCCTTAGCACACTATAATGGATGCGATAACTTAGTTTATGTGTATGTTACCAGTTGTGTATGTGTGTGCATACGATTATTGTGTATTTATGGATTTTATTGGAGTATAAAATTTGTAGGCTCAAAAATGATGAAAGTATATTATTCTGATATTTTATGGTGAGTATATTATGTTTTCTTGTTCTTTTTATAACTTATCAATGACATTTAAGTTTTGTAGTGCTAAAATTGTTTTCGAGTCTGTTTTTCTTAAGAAGAATATGTGAACTACGATGTGTGTGTGTTTTTTTAAACCAGTGTGATTTTTGATTGATTTTCTCCATAGGATTAGGTGTACTTTACCAAAAAAATTATTTCTGGGGGTACCTACGTGGCTCAGTCAGTTGAGCATTGAACTCTTGATTTTGACTCAGGTTGTGATCTCCGGGTTTGTGGGATCCAGCCCTACATCGGGCTCCACGCTGACAGCGTGGAGCTTGCTTGGAATTCTGTTTCCCTCTCTCCCTGCCCTTCCCCTGCTTTCTCTCTCTCTTCATGAAAAGAAATAAAAACTTAAAAAAAAATATTTCTGGACTAGATGGATTGCATGAGATTGGTTGAATATGGTCACATTGTAGAATTGCCCTCTGTGTAATTTAAATTCAGAATGTTTAAAATATTTGAAATAATTTAGCTGATTAGTCATAAACCATAGTAAGTAGCATATTAACTCAATTTTTTTTGCTATGCATAGGTGTTTTTGTAGCTTATAACTCTTTAAAGGCAAATAAATATCTTACTAGATATTAGTAGGGTTACGTTATGCCAACACCAGCAAAGACACAGGCTTTTACCTTTATGAGTATATGTCCATACAGGTAATAACTGTGTTATCTGTGGACTCATGCAAGCACAAACAAACATTCACACTGACTTATATGTGTAGTAATAATAGATTGTATAGTTCTTAGAGGCAATTTTGATATACGTTTACAACCTTTAAAAATGTTTGTCCTGCATAAATACCTTTTAGGCACTCTCTTTGATGTGTCTTCTTCACAGAATAACCCAAATTGGAAATCCTCAGTAGTCATCAATGATAAAATTTCAGATTTGGATCCCATACTCAGTATGAGCAAATATAATCCCATAGCAACCAATTATAGTGCTCAAACAAAAAGCGACTTACCTAAGAATGGGGAATCATCTAGTGTTACCGGGCATTCTTGCCACCCAGCGCACAGATCATTTCTGTTGTCATAACACCACTCATACGCGCTCACGTTATCTCACAGAAAATCTGTTTCCTTACCTGTCTGCAGCCCTTGGACTGTGAGTCAAACAGCATTCATTTCAGAATATGTCTCAATATACACTCCAGAGAAAGTCTGTTACACGCAGAGTTCTCGCTCATCTTGAAGAACAGATGAGAATCAGGAACTTGACAGAAACCACAAAATAATGGGTCTCCTGTCACAGCTGAATTGGTCAGTCAGAATTTACTCACTGCTGCCAGGAAATGGAAACAGAAGAGAGATGTTTGGATCTCTGTGGGTGTCATGCTGGCCTTTGTGCTACTTCTTTTCCTTCAGTGATCCAAAGTAATCCTGGCTTCCACCACCCCCCCCCCTTGAAATTTTCTACTTTTTTCAACATCACCACATCATTTGGCGAGTGAAGAGCTAGGCAACAATCTAAATAGATTTTCTTCTTAATCTTTGCCAGATCAACTTGCGGTAGTCCATGGTGGCAGCTGTGGTGGGTAAGACATGGTTCTGTCTGAAATACACTGGTAGGAGGAACTTGGTGACAGCCGCCCAGTGTAACTAGCTGCTCACAAATAGGTGGTGATTGGGGTGACCTGGAAATGCAGAATCAGCATTTGAGTAAATAAGCATTTTGACATCAGTGGCCACATGTGTTAGATAAGAGGTGCTGCCGTTGTCACTTGTTCTCCACATTAATTTTTCCATATTTGAGCATTACTGACAGATCAGGAGTAGTACTTCAGGTAAACACATCGCTTGTTGACGTTTTTGCTTGGCTTGTGCTGTTTGGAAGGCGAGAGGCAGGACCCACTTCCTATTTTTAGTTCAAGTTACCTGGTATAATTTGTCATGTCCTGAAGAGAGCTCCAGTACCTTTCCTATTGAACTAGAGTGTGCAGTTAGATTGAGAAGCACTCAGTGTTTGGGTGCAAAGCCCTTATCAAAGTGTGACTCAGTACCGGATAAGAAAGAAAGAAAACCATGACCTCTAATGTCCTTTATAAGACGCCTGAATACCAGGTATGTTCACTCAGGTTGTTCTATTGCCAAATTATGGGCTCATGGTTTCGCTTATAAAGTTCAGTTTGCTTAAAAAACGTATAGATTAGCCGTCACAATAAATGTTAACACTTGTTTATATGCCTCTGATAAACCAGGTGCTGTTCTAGATACTTCGTATGTACTATGTGGTAAGCAGTGTCCCAGACCCTGGAGATGGAGTTGTGACTCAGACCCAGGTCTCTTCCCTCATGAAGCACGGTTTCTTTTCTTATTTTGTGCCTCACAAATGATTGGTCCTTCATACTCTCAGCAGAGGCCCCAGGGGACCCACACATGGTTTAGGGAGACTGCCCACTATGGTCTGCGTGAGGGATCCATTCTTCTGTGCCGGTCGGGGCCCGTGCAGTGCTTGCCGCTGCCTGGACTGCTGGGGCTAAGAACACCTGTGTGCGTGTAGGCGTCAGGCTCGTTGGCTTCAGCTGCAACGAGCTGTGGTGGGTAAATACATGGAGGTAGGGACTAGCCTTCAGAGCCTGGTTATTATTACCAGGCGCACTACAGAGCCCTTTGGATGTAAACATGACGCTGATTAAATGGATGATTTGGCACTAATAGTCTCTTAGCTGCAGCTCTGAAGACTTCCCTGATTTATAGCTGGAGGCACTGTTTATTCTCGCAGTCCCAGAAGCACCCATTAATTTTCCCCTTGCTCTCTTATGCTGCTTGTAATCGCCATGGAGTGCACTACATACCTGTTACTGAGGGTGACTGGGAGGAAATGTAGTTAAATTCACTGGACCTGCTTGTTTTCCTCCCAGTACCAGGTCTTGCAAGGTCCAAGGCCAAGGAGATAGCCCTATATAGGTGGTCATGTGATGGCTGGTAGTCTAGATAAGTGAGGTAGATGGTGTGTAAGACCCAGAGGGATGAAGAAATGATGAAGTAGGGAGCTCGTGGCCCACCCATGGGGTCAGCTGCCATGGCTGGAGCTTGTCAGGGTCCAGTGTTGCCTCATCTGTGGATGAGCCAGTGCTGAGTGTATGGCCTGTTCTAAATGTGTTTTATGTGTTCCAACTTGCTGAGTTCTCACAACTCTGTGAGCTGGGTGGGTTCCATTCCTATCCCCTCCCCCGCCTTTTTTCTTAATAGATGAGGAAACAGGCACAGCAATCCTAAGTAAGTTTCCACAGTTCCTCCAGCTGGGATTTGGACTCCGGCAGAGCAGTTCTTGGATCTTGTGCTCTTGACTGTACTTTTAGGTCTCCCCTGATTTTGCACGTTGTTATCTAAATCAAAGACTTTTCAGATTAATGTAAGTCTAAAAAAAACCTGACTTGTGGGAAGCCCGTTTGTGGCATTTGTCTATACTTGTATTGGCAGGTAGCAGGGCAAGATGGCATGGAGAGGACAGCTGGGGACTCAAGTGGAACATTCATTGCCAAAGACTGGATCAAACCACAGATGCACACTCTCACACTCAGCTCAGAAGCACTTTCTTTGTATTAGATCGTTTTACAGCCAATTCCCATGGGAGCCATTTGAGGGGTAACCATGCCTGTGTTTACAGTGAGAAAATAGAGCCACAGCAAACTTAAGTTGTCCAAGCTAGTAGGTGGCAGGACTGGACTTTGCAGCTGGCCTTCAGAGCCACAGTCGAGGATTCCTTCCCCAGCCCTGTGAGTGTTTTTTAGAATCAGATGAATAGAGAACACAGATTTGTTAATTCATGAAGCATCTGAGAGTCCAGTACACCGGGACTGTCCTTGTTGGGAACACAAGAAAAGTGTATTTTCTCATCAAAAACTGCTGAGTGTAATCACACTGCATTTTAGTGTGAGATGAGGAACGCAAAGAGAGTGATGGCAGGCAGATGGCAGACTCCAGACGCCAGGGCCAGTGGTAGAGGCAGAGGGTAAGGCTTGGAATTGAGGGAAGATGAACATGTAAGCATCCAAGAAGAACTTGGTGAGTTATCTGTTCATCTTGTGTTCTTAAGACTGCATGTCTCAAGACAAATTGCCTTAGTAGAGTTTTGGGCCATGGGACCCAACTGATGGCGGCAAGGCCAGGTCTTATGATTCATCTTTTCATGGTTGGGAGACTGTTGAAGGAAATACCCGGAGCTGCTACCTCTTCCTGCCCCCGGCCTCTGGACTGTCTCATTTGCCCTCTGCTTACCTAGCAGTTCTGATCTTTTTTTTGTTGTTGTTTTGTTTTGTTTTAATGTTTATTATTTTTGAGAGAGAGAGAGGCGAGTGCAATTGGGGGAGGGTCAGAGAGAGAGAGAGAGAGAGAGAGAGATGGAGAATCTGAAGCAGGCTCCAGGCTCTGCACTGTCTCTCAGCACAGAGCCTGATGTGGGGCTTGAACTCACAAACTGCAAGATCATGTCCTGAGCTGAAGTGGATGCTTAACTGACTGAGCCACCCAGGCGCCCTAGTTGTGACTCTTTTGAAGTCATTGTTTGTTTCTATATCTGACTGGCCATCAACATCACCTGGTGAGCTTTAAAAATGCAAATTCCAAGACACTGCATCAAATAAACCAAATCAGAATCCTTGTGGTTTTGGTTGAGGAATCTATATTTTCAAATGTCTTCTGGTAAATCTGAAATGTGGCCAAGTGTGAGCATCCCTGCCTTCCTGTTTTGGAGCCTCTGATCATATAACACTTGGAGGAACTTTCATCTTCTGGGCAGATGCCCTACCTGTAGACCTGTTTTTCTGTTCAGCTCACTCCAGCTGCTGGGGTCCCCTTATAAGTTGTTGCTCTGGCTTTGGACACCCATGCAGATGTCTGCCCTGAGAGCAGAAATTTTGATGATCAGAGTACCAGGAGGGTGGTGGTAATGAGGTGAGCATTCATAGACATAGTGAGAGAGAAAGACTAGAGCAGCCAAAGAGGAGGCGAAACCCAAGAAGGAAGGAAGGGTATCAAAAGGAGGCTTATGCAATGAAAACAATGTTGTCTGACTTCTCCTGAGGCCTTTTATATTTTATATTTTTATTTTTATAGTTTTATATTTCCGATCACTTCTCTCATCGTTTTTTTTCTCCACTGGGTGCAAATGAATGATGTAAATCTGTTCTTATACTGTCTGCTGTTACTCCCTGTTAGCAGAAAAGTCTTAAGAGTGGAGTCTTCCTTTTTCTGTGCACCTCGCTGTGTCACCTAGGTTTTGGAAACTGGCCCCAGCCATCCCAGAATGTGGAGTTACGGGAAACATGGGCACATTTGTGGATGACTCAGCCTATTTCAACGCAGGAGTGCAGATTGGCCCTGCCACCATTTTGTATTTCCTTGAGGTGTATCCCGGGCATTTTGTGGATATGCTTAAATGTGAAAATGATCTTGTACAGGTATTTCTGTCTTGGAATTGGAAATAAGTGTATTATTAAGGTTTGCAAAAGTGTTTTATCCTGACAAACTATTGATCATATCATTATGTATTTTTAAAATTAGATGTTTGTTATATTCAGCACCACTAGATGCCAGACTCAATACAAATATTAATGATCATATTAATAATAATAAAATAATAAGTAGGTAGAGGTCATGTTCCCTGCTTTCAGGATTCTTGCTATCAAAAAAAAAAAAAAAAGAAAAAGATTAAAAAAATGTTTTCTTCTGTACTGTTTGATTTATGCTGTATAATTCTGTGTTCCTGCAGCCCCTTCCCATTTCCTTTTTGGAACCCAAAGAGTACTGTATGGCTTCATCCTGATAAATCTTTTTCTCAGAACTCTTCACATACCCTCGAGATGATGGCTACTACCACCCACATTCTCACAGACACATTTACATTTCCTTTCTCCAACATTGTTTCCAGGCTGGACTCTGTCTTTTCAGGACTAAGAATGGTTATATATAAATATCCCTTGTGTATTCGTACTACAAATAGAGTGGGATTAACGTAATCCCCAAATATGTCTATTATTGTTTCCAGTCAGTTTCCATCCAGCTTGTTGTCAGCTGTCCTTAAAAGCTGACTTTGTTTCTTCTTGGTTCCATAAATGTCCTGTTTTGTTCCTTATCCGAAAATCTTTAAATAAGTACAGAAACAACTTTATTGTTAGTGCTTTATCCCAGATTTTCCTCATTTGCTTCTTTGCATGGTAACACACACTTGTGCACTTTGCTTTTTCTCAACATGCTGTCTTGGGAACTTAATCACATTAGCCTGGTAGAAATTCCTTGTTCTTTTTTCATAGCTGTTTAGTATTCCATAATTTATTTGGTCCCTATTGATCGGCCCTTAGATAAGTAAGAACATTTTCAATGAATTTATTTTAAGCATAGCAGCTATTTACTGGGTTACATCATTAACAAAAATGTTGGGGTGCCTGAGTGGCTCAGTTGGTTGAGCATCTGACTTTGGCTCAGGTCATGATTTCACAGTTCATGAGTTCGAGCTCCAGTCAGTTTATGAGTTTGAGCCCCATTTTGGAATCTGTGCTGACAGCTCAGAGTCTGGAGCCAGTTTTGGATTCTGTCTTTTTCACTCTTTGCCCCTCCCCCACTTGTGCGCGCAGTGTCGCTCTCTCTCGCTCTCTCTCGCTCGCTCTCTCTCAAAAACAAATATACATTAAAAAATAAAAGTTTTTGCTGGCAAGTGATTTATAGTTGTGTGTGCATGTTGGGGTGTGTGAATACATGTGGGATTCTACTGGACATTGAGAAATTTATTGGTAAGAATTAGAGAGGATGTTAGTAAAAGGCCCTGTATGAACATTATATGAATTTACAGAGATATTTAAAGGAAGTAGGTTTGGAAGTGGCTCTCTGAAGGAGATGGTCTTTGGTTCTTACTAAATGGCTTTTTTATTTACAAATTGGGGTGAATTTCAATCTGGGATTTAAAAACATGGTGACAGCGAGGGTACCGTGGATAGAAAGTCAGCGAAGGTGGAGTGGGCCACAATGTGGAGGGTTCTAACTGTCATGTTGAGGAGGGAGGTCATAATTGAGAATGCCATGAATTTTTTGTTTTGTAGTAAAATGATTGTTGATGTACTTTAAAAAGTATAACCTGGCAGGAAAAGTGAGTACAGACATGGCCTTTTTGTGTTTCTCTGTGTGAAGCATTAAATCCTGCTTCACAAGTCAGTGACACAAGTCAGTGAATTGGTTTAGAGTGGTGGAGTGGTAGGAATTATGCCATTGAAACATACTTAGCTGGTTTTATTTGAAAACAATGCTTTTTGTTATTTTTTAACTTCTTGAAATGAGTGAATTAGATGGCAGTTGTGTACTTAGGTCTGAGAGTTATATTGGAGAAACAGACTTTTGGTACAATATTTCCACCTTCTGGTAGGATGACAGAAGTGACAGTTTATAACATGCATTGATATACACAGTATTTACATATTGTGTAGATACTCTATG